CTCCAGGCAGCTCCTGCCCGGCTGGCGGCAGCCACAGCGGGGAGCGCCGCACCCTGTCATTACAAGGGAGGCTTTGAAGCAGCTGGCAGCCGGGCTGTTTGCCCACGTGGGAGGGTCCTTCCTGAGCCCCCCGCTGACTCTCCCGTTCCCTTGCAGGCCCAGCCGTGAGGACGCTCGGGGCCAGCATGGCCGATCCCAGCGAAGGCCCCCGCACAGGGCCTGGTGAGGTGGCCGATTCCCCCGGGGATGAGAGTGGCACCGCCGGTGGGGAGGCCTTCCCCCTCTCTTCGCTGGCCAACCTGTTCGAAGGGGAGGAGGGGTCCCCCTTGCCCTCACCACCCGATGCTGTTCGCCCGGCCGCTGCTGCGGGCACAGGCGATGGGCGACCAAACCTGCGCATGAAGTTCCAGGGCGCCTTCCGCAAGGGGGTGCCCAACCCCATTGACCTGCTGGAGTCCACCCTGTACGAGTCCTCGGTGGTGCCCGGGCCCAAGAAAGCGCCCATGGATTCGCTCTTCGACTACGGCACCTACCGCCACCACCCTAGTGACAACAAGCGGTGGAGGAGGAAGGTCTTAGAGTGAGTATTGCTGGCTGCCCAGGCAGTGTTCTCCAGCTCTGTACTGAGTCCATCCACCCACCTGTCCATCCATCCATTCACCCACCCATCCATCTACCCACCTGTCCATCCATCCATCCATCCATTCACCCACCCACCTGTCCATCCATCCATTTATCCTTCCATCCATTTATCCATCCATCCATCTATCCACCCACCTGTCCATCCATCCATTCATCCATCCATCCATCCATCCATCCATCCACCCACCTGTCCCTCCATCCATTTATCCATCCATCCATCCACCCACCTGTCCATCCATCCATCCATTTATCTGTCCATCTATCCACCCACCTGCCATCCATCCATCCATCCATCCATCCATCCATCCATCCATCCATCCATCCATCCATCCATCCATCCATCCATCCATCCATCCATCCATCCATCCATCCATCCATCCATCCATCCATCCATCCATCCATCCATCCATCCATCCATCCATCCATCCATCCATCCATCCATCCATCCATCCATCCATCCATCCATCCATCCATCCATCCATCCATCCATCCATCCATCCATCCATCCATCCATCCATCCATCCATCCATCCATCCATCCATCCATCCATCCATCCATCCATCCATCCATCCATCCATCCATCCATCCATCCATCCATCCATCCATCCATCCATCCATCCATCCATCCATCCATCCATCCATCCATCCATCCATCCATCCATCCATCCATCCATCCATCCATCCATCCATCCATCCATCCATCCATCCATCCATCCATCCATCCATCCATCCATCCATCCATCCATCCATCCATCCATCCATCCATCCATCCATCCATCCATCCATCCATCCATCCATCCATCCATCCATCCATCCATCCATCCATCCATCCATCCATCCATCCATCCATCCATCCATCCATCCATCCATCCATCCATCCATCCATCCATCCATCCATCCATCCATCCATCCATCCATCCATCCATCCATCCATTCTGTTCATCCACCCACCATCCATCCATCCACCCACCTATCCATCCACCCACCTATCCATCCATCCCTTATCCATCCATCCATCCATCCATCCACCCATCCATCCATCCATCCATCCATCCATCCATCCATTTATCCTTCCATTTATTCATCCATTCATCCACCTACCTGTCCATCCTTCCATACACTTGTTTGTTCATCCACCCATCCATCCACCCATCCATCCATCCTCTACTCATTCATTCATCCAGCTACCTGTCTTTCCACCTGACCATCCACTTGTCCAATCCATCTGTCCATCATCATTCAAATATCTATGTACCCATCTATTTATCTGTCATCTATTTGTCCAGCCCTCCACTCACGTCAACCTTCCATTCATCCACCACTTATTCATCCACCGATTCATTCCTTCACCTACCCACTGTTTCTATTCATCCAACCAGTCAGCTATCCATTAAACTATACTCATCATTCATTCATTTCATTTCTAATTTTTCTCTTTCTCCTCCTCCCTCTTTCCCTCCCTCCCTTCCTTCCTTCTTCCCTTCCTTCCTTCCTTCCTTCCTTCCTTCCTTCCTTCCTTCCTTCCTTCCTTCCTTCCTTTTACCAATTCATTTACCCACCTATCTGTCCATCCATTCATTCATTCATTCATTTGCTCAATCCCTGACTCATTCATATTTTTGTTTATTTTCTCATCCATCCATCCACCCACCTTCTCCTGCTGACACAACCCCAGCAGCCCCTCCTGGGTCTTCTCCAAGTGCCACCTTCATTCCTGGGCACCTCCTGGGG